ATATATATTTTTTTTTTTCGCCAGAGGGTACTTGTGTTCAATGGAGAGAAAACAGAGAGAGAGAGAGAGAAAGCACCTCCCATGGGGAATGGCCACACCACAATCCTTTCTCCTCCATTTCTTCTTTCAGAATTGTGGACACATATGCCTGACATGTCTTTCAAGTCACCACTCCAGGACTCCAATCACACAGTTGGCCATGTGGGATCCAGTGGCCTTAACCACCACTCCACAGGCTGGCCCACAGCAATGTTTTTATAAACTCTATGCCTTCTGCTAGGAAAATGCCTTCCTGCTCACTCGCTACACTCCTGCTTACTTACATATCCAACTCCTATTCACCCTTCAAAACTCAGCTTAGAAATATTCCCCCAGAGACCACAGTTAAACATGATGTTCGGCAAGACTGACCCACGTGAGAAGGTTCTGGGTTCATGTCCAGAGACCTCCATGAATGCACCATGCATGTGAGTGCCCATGACCCAGTGTGTACCCATGATCCAGGGCTGGCTGAGGCTGGGAGTGGATCTCAGCATCAGGACCCTGCTGGGGGTGAGTGTGTGCATGCACTCTCTCTTTCTTAAATAAGTAACTTCAAGTCTCCTTGACCCCCTCATCCCCACTAGGTTCACTACGTTCCTGTTACCCTCTACTATTTATTCCCCTAAGCTTCTGAATTAGTCATTTACTCAGCAAGCAGTCTCCATCTTGTCCCAGGCACTGAAATACAGTAAGTTACTTTTGCATTCCCACTGCATAACACAGGATGGGGAAAATGGTGGGCAGGACAATGTTTGCTAAAAGAATAAATGAATGAAAGAACTACAAAAAAAAAAAAATCATACAATCAGGAAAACCTCATCTTTCTTTTTACTCTATTTGTGATCTAAAACAAAAACAAAAACAAAACTCAGGGTAGAAGATGGCATCTCTGGAGTATGAAAGCACAAAACCATAACAATCACAGAATCTACACCTTTACTCTCCGATGAGCATACACTATGTTGTAGGTTAAAAGTGTTTGGGGATAAATTTGTAATTCTTCACTTATTCCACTATTCCCACTGAAAAATAGAAATCAAGTCTAAATGATAAAAGTCAACAAAAAACAATGCCACAGACAACCCACTTTTCTTTTAAAACTGCAAATGAAGTCAGTGAATTATATGTTTGCCATCTGCAGGTGTCAAAGGATCCCAGAAACAGTCAGCTACAAACTGAGTTGGGCCAGAAGTCTCAATGTTAACCTGAGCTGCTAGCTGAGAGGTCTTTATCTAAGGACCTTCATGCAAGTTTGGGAAAGGAACTTCTACTGAGAGAATTCATGATGACCAATACACATTGATCAAATCTGGAGCAGAAAATACACACACACACACAAACACACACAATCTATAAAAAACAGATCCAGCCATTTTCTTTGGAACGCCAATAATCATGAACCTGATGCAAAGGATGAGCCCGAAAACTTCTAGTTTCTCAATAAACACAAGAGGATGAAAAGTTGGTGCTGGGCTGGCCCTGTAGTCTAATGGTTAAGGAAGTTGGAACCCCCATGGACAATTGTTCAAATCCTGGGGTTGATAAATACACCAGGCATGTAGTGGCATGGGATTGTGGCATGACTGCACCCCACTGGAGGTGCTTTTTCCCTTTCCCTTTCTTCGTTTCTCTCTGGCGAGTGAACATATCCTCTGGTAAATAATTTTTTTAAAGAGAAAAGTTGGCATTAAAATACATGTTGCAGAGCTCTAATAAGCCGTTTAAGGTCTAGGATATTTCTCTATTTAAAGTAAGTTCCTGCAAAAACAGAGCCAGGCTCATGTTATTACATGTTATTTTTTTCTTTATTCTATTGAGATCAAGTCCCAGATGAATTTTGTTTCCATTCACCAAGTTCTAAAATCTTTGACCATTACAAGAAATGTGTACGTGGGCATATGTATGTGTGTATTAACTGATGACTACAAAATAAAGTAAGTGATAGAGGATGACTTTGCTACAGAAAATCTCAGCCATTCAATGAATGAATCATTCTGTACAGTCTAGTTTTCTGAATTGGTAGAAGCTTTGCACACCAAAACAAGTGGAGGTTATCTTGGGCGTAAATATTTCCAAAGTATACTGAACATCCCTCTCAAAGAGTGTGTTTTAAAATGGCTCCTTTTCATAATTCACTGTTCTAAATGGTAAATGACAATTACTGGGTCATGTTATTACAGAGTGACGCTTACAGGGTCAATTGAGGGTTCCCTATCCTAATTTTCCCAAGTTTTCAGGGCTTTGGTCCCAATTCTTGTGTTGAAAACTACAGTTTTTTTCCTAATGGTCCAGCTCTCAGACGGGTCACTTTTTACTTCTGGTTCTGGCAACTCCCCATCCCATTCTAACTGCACTATACTTAATAAACTACAAATTAATTTTTAAATAAAAATAGTTAGGATTGGGTTAGCCAGTAGCATGGTGATTAAAGAGGCTGGATCTTACATGGCCAAATACGTGATTCGAGTCCCAGGCCTGGTGGCTTGAAAAATATGCCAGGTGTGTGCGTGCCCAAAATTCCAAGAGGAGATGGAAAAGAGGGGATTGCAGTGTGGCCATCCTTCCGCAGGGGTGATCTCTCTCTCTGTCCCTCTGTCTCACTGTCTCTCTCTCTGGCAAACATATATGCCCTATAGCAAAACAAACAGTAAATAAAAATAAAATTAGGATTGTGTTTAGAGTAAGAGTGTTTACTAAGAAAGGACCTGGGGTATTTTCCCAGACTTTCATGCCATTTAAAGTCTGGTGGCTAAGTGGACATTTTTGCCACCTTCCTGGTTCTTAGCTAACTAGATACATAGACACTGCACTACAGACTCAGGTACGCTATGACTTACAGACTCAGGTGTACTGTGACTGCAGACTCAGGTATGCCATGACAAATGGTGATGCCTTGTGAGAGCCGTACTCCAAAAGTAAACCAAATCAATCAAATGACTTCCCCAAAGAATTTCTGTCCTGCCCATGCAATCAAACAAGTGCAAAGGTCACCACACAGGTGAAAAGTCTGAGCTGAAAGAACGAACCAGAACCTGAAAGGAGAATGGTCCTTATCTTATATAATGGTTCTATATTTTGTACATCTATATCATTTAGCAGCACGAACCAGTATCTTACACAAATAAGCACGGTACAGTTTTTAAGGGGAAAAAAATTACCAAATGATTTTTAAAAACTCACAGAAGTTCAATTTTTCTTATTAAGTTATGAGATCTTTAAACCAAGACACTTCTTGTTCATACCATACGTCTATCTCATTGCGTTACTTATTAAACTGAAGGCTGCCAGGTTAGGGAAAGTGAAGTCTTCTCTGTTACGCAAAGGGAAAAAATGCTGCTCTAACATTTGAGTAGACTCAAGATGAATGATCAATAAACAGTCCCTACGAACACTGAAGGCAAGCATTCCACATAAACCACTGTACTTAAGTCCTTTGCATTCTGTAAAATGTAAAAGTTTATATAACCGTGTTGATCCAACCCGAGAAAGCAAAACCAGGCAGGTGAATAGGCTGCCCCCCGTTGACATCAAGGAGGGAAGCAGAGAGAGAGTGATCGTCAGTTACCCTAGTTACGCTTTTACACCCTTATGAAGGAGCCTGGCCCTTCAGCTATTTATAAACATGAAGCTCAACCAAAGCAGGCCCTGCCACTGCCACCCTTGGGAGTAACCGTGTGGGCTGTCAGGCTGGGGCTGAATGGAATCTCCCTCAGGCTGGCCCTCCATACTTGGCAGTCCAAGATCCTCTGGGTGCAGTCTTGTCTGGTTAGGAAAAGGACTGCGAGGATTTTGAGTGGTCACTTCCACCCTGTGATTCTATATAAGGAAACATCCCATTCTAGTGTTTTCAACATCACAGGCCCCACACAGGGAGGAGGAGTAAGAGGACAGGCTCTCTGGCCACTTTGAAGGGACACTCACTTTAGTGTCTCCCAGGCCCCACTGCCCCAGACTGAACCTTGTCATCATCAAATGGCAGCTCAGACCTCTGCTGGGTCTTGCAGGCTCACAGCTCTAACAGGGAACAGCTGGGAGAGGACCCTGCATTCTTTTCTCTGCACAAACACTGGGGGCTCTGTTCACCCTCCTGCAGCAGAATGAATTGAAGAATTTCTCCTATCCAAAATCACAACCATCAGACCTTTCCCCAGCTCCCAGCCTCCCCAACCCCCTCCCCCAAGGATATCATTTCAGTCTGTCACCCCTCCATGCCAGCAAATGGCACACTGCTGGACGCTTCAAGTATATGCACTTTCTATACTAGTTGAGATGTGTGTAAATACTAGCGGGGTAATCCGAAACAATCCTATTCAGTAAAGTTTCCTAACAAAAAACACTAAGGAACCCAATTCATGCCTGCTCTTCCTACAAAGACCCTTTCTACATCCAAGATTTGTATCAACACGGATAAGGCCATGGCCAATAAGTGTAACCACATAACATGCGTAGTGCACATGTCATCATGTGTAGCGTCATCTACATACTATTTTCAAGACCAAGAGCTAAACAGGGACGATCCCTGGGGGAAAATAACATAATTCAATTTTCTTGTATTTCTCATACAGCCTTATCCAAGCTTGGCTTCTGAAGGGCAATCCCTGGCGTCTTCGCGTGTTGCTGAAACCCAGCGAGCCACGTTGCCCAAAAGAAGAAGGGAAAAAAAGCCCAGAAAATCCAGACTCTACGTGACCTGACTTACTTATTTGCCAGGAAACTGCATGAGAGAAAAAAAATCAATCATTCACGCTACCGTAGCTATCACACGGAAAAGACCGAAGGAGTTCACAGTAGGCACAGCCTCAATGCGGCCAGCGGAGGTGAGTGGGTGGCAGGGACCCGGGGACGTGCCAAGGGCCCCCGGACCCGCGCCGTCTGGGTCCCCGCGGAGCGGCGGTTTGGGGCGGGGCCCGGGGCGGGGAAGCTGGGGACCAGCGGGACCACGGTGGTCGCGCACTTACCAGGGCTGTTGGCCTCGCCTTCGAGGACGTGCAGCTCGGCGCAGTCGGCCAGCGAGTGCTCCAGGCAGAGCTGGAGGAAGCGGGCCTGGGTCTGGCTCACGCGCTTGAGCAGCGACAGCAGTGCAACAGTCTGCTCGCACTCGTTCCAGCCCTTAAACCAGCCCGCCAGCACCCCGACCTGGTCGCGAAACATCATGGTTAGGGGGCCGCCCTCGGTCTACAAAGCCCCCTGAGCGCTGCAGCCCGCCCCGCCCGCCCCAAAGTTTGGCGGAGCCGCAGCCCGGCGGCTGCCGGAGACGCGTTCCGGTTCCAAGGTGGCTCTGGTGCCCGGACGCTGCAGGTACTGCCTCGGCTCCCGCCTCTCTCGTCTCGTTTCAGTTACGTTCCGGTGGTTCTAGCTGATTTCCCCAGAGAAGATGACAGACAGTAGCACGGAAATGTTTCTTTAAAAAATAAAAAATAAAAAAATCCCCTACAAGGCACACAACTGAATGAAGAATGCTCTCTTTTCCCCCCTCCTCGCGGCTTCGGGATGGTGATTTCCGGCGTCCCGGGGTCTCCTCCCCGCTGGGCGACAGCTCGGACCCTTCACACCCGCATTCCCGAGCGGCGATCACCACTAGAAGGAGAGAGAAAGCTGCAGTGAGACTCGGCCAGAGAAGGAGCGTGCAGGGGAGACGGGTGCATTAGAGGGTGCCCGGGAGCGGGGTGGGAGTCGGGGGCTGCGGGCGTCCCGCGGAAGGTTGGGTCTCCCAAATTCCGGCTGCCCCCTCCGCACCCGGATGCGGGAGGTGTGCTATTCCCGTCGGTGGAATGGCAAGAAGCCGCCTTCTCAGGTGCGGGAGGAGACCCCGCGGCTTTCTTTTTGCTGGGGCACTAAAAGGCGGGGGTGGC